AAGCAGCCGCTTCACAAACACATGGCCCAACACAGGAGGGCCAACTCCAGTGGACCAGAGTCAGCAGTCCACCTCCACCTGAAGGACAAAGGACATTCTTTTGAGGACAGTGAAGTCCAGATCCTCTCCAGAGAACATCGCTGGTTTGAGAGAGGAGTTAAGGAAGCTATTTTTGTAAAAATAGAACACCCCTCACTAAATAGGGGTGGTGGACTAAGACACAACTTGTCTTCTATCTACAATCCTGTTTTGAGATCTCAAACATACCCACCTGGACAATAGGCGTCGGTCGACAGGTGAGGATCCAAAGACAGGTAACGACTCTCACCGATACTGGGTTATAACGACTTAGTCCTTAGGGGACATTGTTGGCCTTCTAAGGACTGAAACACCACCGAGGGGGATAAATATCTCTGGTTCAACACCAGTCAGTCAGAACTGATGAAGCCTCTTGGATAAGAGGTGAAACGTCTTCGATCTAGAAATCTAGTCCAGTTGAGGTTTACTAAGGTTTTCTCAGTTTACTATGACCTGGATGACTGAGAATGTGCACAGACAAAGTGAAGGACACATCTGAGAGGTGCATTATCCAAGATTTCCCACAGTGCCTGATAACCCCAGGACATGGTGTCTCTCAGCTACATCCCCCCCACCCAAGCTGCATTTAGTATAGTTTGTCCCAACCAGGCATCCATAGTTCACGCCATCACTAGCAAACAGAACGTGATGTTAGGGACAGAGAGCAGCTTCTGGTGTCAGTTTGAGTCTCAACCCTCCAGACTGGACCCACAACAGGGAGTGGAGCTTTAAATGACTGGTTCATTGAGAATCATCTGATAAAAACCCAAACAGACTTAAAAAAAAAAAACATGCAGGTCACAACACTGAGTGGGCAGTGCGATCACAACAGCCTCACACAGAAACACACTTCCTGGCTGTGTGTGATTGGCGTGTGTGTCTGTGGGCAGGCCTTGTGTTGAGCTCAGGGTCGGAGCTGCATCTGTGATATTCCAGTGAGCTGAGGATGAGGGGGACGTCTGTTGTCCTCTGACGGCTGCTCACTTTGTCTTTGGGACCATTTTTCACTTTTTACCCGCCACCTGGACTCACAGTGAGGCGACACAGCCGCCTGCTGCTTCCTGTCCACTGACCTTATCGCTGACGTTTGTTGTTTGTAAGCAGTAAAAATGTCTCTGCTTGTAGCTGGTAAGTTCACTGTGTGGCAGCAACGTGTGACTTTATTTCTCTGGCTGTTATTTGTTCACTGAGGTTTGTCTTCTCCCTAATATTCATTGGTAATGTTCTGTTTTGTGTCACAGTCAGTGTGACGTGGTGTTTGATACAGTTCAGGACAAAAACGACTCGTCTCACATCAGATGATTCTTCTGACAGTGTAAACCCTTTCAGTTGTCCCGACAGATGACTACAGTATTTCACATGCAGTCTGTAGATCAACGCAGACGTTGACTCGCCAGTGCAGCTTCACAGTAGAAGCATTTTGTCCTGTGTTATGGGACGTTGTTAAATTCCTCACCCAGACTGTAATTACATTGTTTTAACATTGTTTTATATTAAATCTGACTTTTAATAATGAAAAGTGTGGGGTTAGTGGAGCTTTAAGTGAAAGATTAGCTTCTAATTTTCAATTTCAATTTTCAAAACCTGAGCTTTGATAAGTATTAGATTAATAGAAACATTCACAATGGTCAGTTATTTTAAAAAGGCTTTTTAAATGACTGATAATAGAGTTTTAAAGAAGGAAAAGTTTCACCCAAATAACCTGTGTGTTGTTTTGAGGTCATTTAAAACCACAGTTTGTTTGACGGGGGCGGTTGTTCAAGGTCAGCTTTGGTGTTTGGGCTGCAGGTACCAAAGTTTTTACATCGAATTACACCATTTTATGTCAGATTGTAACATGCTCAGCTTTTTCTATAACATTTTACAAATCACCCAGGTCACTTTCTTGATGAACAGTCAACACAGTGACTTTTAATTTTTTATTATACTGTTAACTGACTTTAAATCTAACAAAGTAATAGTAAGGAGATGTGGCATCTTGAATATAGTGTCCTTACTGTAAAGACGTGTGGGCTCTTAATGTGTGAACCCAGCGACAGGCCGTGACTGTAGACGGCACCTCTCTGGGTTCAGTGTCTGAGGAGGAGCAAAGTGGAACTGAAGCTCTGTCTGTGTCTGCAGACCTGACCAGAGGAGCCATGACAGAGTTCCAGGAGAAGCTCCGTCAGCAGCACGAAGAGTCGATGCACCGCGAGCTGGAGGCGCTGCTCGCCACAGCCGACAAGGCCGAAGCAGAGGTGGGACAGACTCCAGATGTGTCCAGAAACTTCTCAGAAAGCAGCTGTTTACAGCTCAGACATTACAGGACGTGAAGCTCATCTGTTTGTTCTCAGCTGTATTCAGCGCTGACACATTTGTCAGCAGCTTTACTTGTACTGATGTTCATCAGCTCTTTAACTGCACAACCTTGATTTATTTAGTTTTCCCCTATAGCACTGCTCTTTTATTCAGGATTGAATACGCCCATAATGTCCTGTGTTTATTAATACATAGGAGGTTTTTTGCTGTAAACATCTCTTATCCACTTTTCTTTTCATCTGTCTGCTCTTTATTTGTTCATTCAGTTGTCTATTGTCTTTTGTGTCATGTCAAACTGTGGGAAACAGGTTAAAGGAATTAAATGTTCTCGTCTGTTTTTAAGGCAGATGCAGCTTCTTTACCTGATAGTTTCTGTCTGATCTGACCAAATGATTTGTTCAGCTGTTATTTACCTATTAGCTATTTTTGTCTTAAACTGGTAATAAGGCTTGTTTCAGCCAGAGCCAGTGGTTAAACTGTTTAAAAGCCTTAAATTGATGTTGGCACACACACAGCTGGATAACCGACTAAAGGCCAAACTAGATCCCCTCGTTGTGTCCGACCTCACCGTGTCCGACCCGCAGAGCAGATGTATGACAGGATGTAAGTAGCGTCAGGTCTCCCCTGTCGGAGGAGGAAGCCTCCTCCTTCCAAACCAGATCCCCCCCCACTGTGTCCGACCCACTGTGTCGTCCTCATGAAGCCATTCAGTGACCTAGAGCTGAAGCCATGAGTCAGTTCACTGGTAGAAAATGAACCTCAGCTATTTAGAAGCAACAGTCACCGACATGTTCTGGTTCCACCTTCTTTAATGTGAGGAGCTGATGCTTTTCTTTGTCAGACATGAGAATCAACTGAGTCTCTGTGGGTCTGTTGGTTGGACACAACAAGACGCGTGGAGACGCCACCTTTGTTCTCTGAAACGAGACGTGTGGAGACGCCACCTTTGTTCTCTGGAGAGTCACAGTGGGACTTTTTCCCAGTGTCTGACATTCTGGGGATAAACTGATCAATCAGATCATCAGGACGATGATCAGCTGATTGATCGGTGGCCCTGCTGGTTGGGTTTCTGCTTAGTCAGGAGTGTGTCACCATCTGTATGTGTTGCTTATACAGAGCAAATATTTGTGCACTATTGCACACTGACAGTCCAGTAGGTCGTCTAACACACAGCATGTTGACTCTTTTGGGAGAGATCTGGCCTGTTGGGTGAACACAAGGTGAACGACCCCAAGGTCCTGCAAAGCAACACACACATGCACACACTCATTGGAAACATACTGAAGACAAACTAGAGATGTGCACGTTTTACAGTTGAATAGGCTTCTGTTCTCGATCCTGATCACTGAGGTTTGTTGTTCTTTTTGGTTTCTCTGTTTGGTTCGTTTTGTTTCAGATCTCCAGGAAGGACTTTGATGGCTTCAAGAAGCTTTTCCACAGATTCCTGCAGGTCAAAGGTCCTTCAGTCGACTGGGCCAAGATCAACCGGCCGCCGGAGGACTCGGTGAGCACCAGACACCTGCAGTCACACCAGAGCTCAGGGTTTCATGTTGCAGTCCTCTGTGCTGTAAGCCAAGGTCAGTGACCATATTGAGGCTCAGACATCACAGTGCTACAGGATAATCACCCCCTGACTTTCTGCTGGAAGGCGGCTGATTTAAAAAATGCAACGGAGGCGTGAAGATTAGAAATCAGGGAGGCAAATGACCACTGCTCAGTGCAGCACAGGTTGAGTCAGAGCCAACAGCCATGAGAAGCTCTGTCAGACTTGTCTTTGCTCTGCTGGAGAGACAGGGACTCTGGTGGCGCTCTGACTGCGACTACAGGCATGTGGGGCGGCTCCTTTAAATGATTCAACTATTACGGAGCGTTGTACTGCAGAAACAGGCTAACGAAACCAGATCTGAGGGGAGAAGGCGTTCAGGCCAAAGCCAAGTATTTGTCAGCATGGTGACATTTCACACACACTCTCAGTCGGTCCCCTCAGAGTTCCCAAAATACCCGAGCAGAGTGAAGGTTAGGACTAAGAATAGTATGACCGTGGCAGCATTTCAAAGTCGGGTTTTAGGCTGATGGGCTCGTGCAGACGCTGACATTTGTCTCCACTGGGACTCTGGACGCTGCTGGGCGGCGGCTCATCTTCATATCCACACCTGCACCCGCCTCCAGCCTTCGCGGCCCACTGAGTCCCAGCTGCTTCCGATAATGACCTTAGCATCGGTGCTTGATCCCACAGGACGTTGCTGTCGTCATGAAGGCTGATCTCAGAATGTCAAAGGCTGTATCCTGAGTGTACTTAGTGCAAGTCACACGCACACACACACACACACATACACAGCCATCCATTTATTCATCCTGTCAGTGGATTCAGACCCAGGACCTTCTTGCTGTGAGGAGACAGACACTGTTCCACCCTTGGAAAAATACAGTTTTAGGCTTAAAACTCAGTAAAATAAAAGGCTTTGCAACGAGAGGGCGTAAAAACAAGACTGAAAAAAATGCAGCAACAGTTACAACTGGCTAAGGCCTCAAAGTGTTTATTGTGTCATAAAAACTATGAAGGGATCTGCTCCCAGTCAGGCTTTAAGGCTCTGTGGAGACCATGCAGTGTGCACGTCCTCCAGACAGGCTCAGTCCAGGCCGGGCACCAGCAGAGCTCTGATACAGTCTGTGCTGGACCCTTAGAAGACTTTGATGAAGGACAGTCTCGTCCATCCTTGCTCCTCAGAGTAGAAATAAGAACTCTGGGAGGTTGTTCAAGACAGTGGAGCAGAACAACGTCTGGGGTGAGCGAGGACGGATCCATAACCTGGTGTAGCTTATTGACTGTGTCTCATCCTTTAACAGACAGATGAAGCCAGCAGCATTACACTTGGCTGCCTGAAAAAGGCTGAACTTTCTTGTTATGTTCAT